CCGAGTAGCTCGCCGTGGGGAGCACCCATTCTGTTTGTGAAGAAGAAAGATGGCTCGCATCGCATGTGTATTGATTACCGAGAATTGAATAAGCTGACGGTCAAGAACCGTTACCCGTTGCCGAGGATCGACGATTTATTCGATCAATTACAGGGAGCATCTTGGTTCTCCAAGATCGATTTGAGGTCGGGCTATCATCAGGTGAGAGTGCGGGACGAGGACGTCCAGAAGACAGCATTCAGGACGCGTTATGGGCATTATGAGTTTGTGGTGATGCCTTTTGGGCTCACCAATGCCCCGGCTGTGTTCATGGACCTCATGAACAGGGTATGTCGGCCGATGTTGGATCGGTCGGTGATTGTGTTCATTGATGATATTTTGGTATATTCGAGATCTAGAGAGCAACACGAGGAGCATTTGAGGGAGGTTCTTGGAGTTTTGAGATCGGAGAAACTTTACGTAAAGTTTTCCAAGTGCGATTTCTGGTTGCGGGAGGTCCAGTTTCTGGGGCACCTCGTTAATCAGAAAGGGATATTGGTCGATCCGGCCAAGGTTGACGCAGTGATGAGGTGGGAGGTGCCAAAGTCACCTTCTGAGATTCGGAGCTTCCTTGGGTTGGCAGAGTATTATCGGAGGTTTATTAAGGATTTCTCCAAGATCGCAGTGCCACTCACCAGATTGACCCGGAATGGTGTTACATTTTTATGGGGTCCCGAGCAGCAGACCTCCTTTGAGACGCTTCGCCAGAGGTTGTGTGAAGCTCCGATATTAGCTCTTCCGGAAGGGATGGAAGGTTTTGTGATATTCTGTGATGCATAGATATTAGGACTGGGAGCGGTACTGATGCAGAAGGGACATGTGATAGCATATGCATCGAGGCAGTTGAAGCCTCACGAGACGAGGTACCCCACACATGATTTGGAGTTGGGGGCAGTGGTGTTCGCCCTCAAGATTTGGCGGCACTACTTGTATGGGGTTCGTTGTACAATATACACGGACCATAAGAGCTTGAAGTACTTGATGGATCAGCCTAACCTGAATATGCGGCAAAGGAGGTGGTTAGATGTGGTCAAGGATTATGATTGCGAGATCTTGTACCACCCGGGCAAGGCTAATGTGGTAGCCGACGCGTTGAGTCGCAGGGCGGAGAATACTCCACTGCGAGAGGTATGTTTGAGATTGACAGTGATAGCTCCAGTTCTGGATGCCATTCGTGGGGCACAGGCCGAGGCTGTGCGACCGGAGATGCAGAAGAGAGAACGGGTCGTTGGGTTGGTTTCTGAGTTTATATCGGATAGTCGAGGGCTTATGACTAATCAGGGCCGGATCTGGGTACCGTTTGTGGGCGGTACGCATACTACATTGATGGAGGAGGCTCATAGATCGAAATTTTCGATCCATCCCGGGGCTACAAAGATGTATTTGGACTTGAGGAAAGAGTATTGGTGGCCTTGTATGAAGAGGGATGTCGCATGGTTTGTCGAGAGGTGTTTGACCTGTCGAAGGGTAAAGGCCGAACACCAGAGACCGCATGGCAAGTTGCAGCCATTGGAGGTTCCCGAGTGGAAGTGGGAACAAATCACTATGGATTTCATCACCAAATTGCCGAGGACTGCCAGAGGAGTCGATGCAATTTGGGTGATTGTGGATAGGTTGACAAAGAGCGCTCACTTTCTTGCCATCAGTGAGAGTTCTTCGGCGGAAAAGTTGGCGGAGATTTATGTGAGGGAAGTTGTATCTCGGCATGGGGTGCCGATCTCGATTGTTTCAGACCGCGATGTGCGTTTCACTTCCCGGTTCTGGAAGAAATTTCATGAGGAGTTGGGTACTAAGCTGCATTTTAGTACCGCATATCACCCCCAGACCGACGGCCAGAGTGAGCGGACGATTCAGACACTTGAGGACATGCTTCGAGCATGTGTATTGGATTTTGGGGGTAGTTGGGATACGTATTTGCCCTTGGCAGAGTTTTCCTACAATAACAGCCATCATTCGAGCATCGGTATGGTAGAAGGTGTCGGACTCCCATTTGTTGGGGAGAGGTTGGGCAGAGGGTAATGGGCAGTACAGAGATCGTGATTCAGACGACAGAGCAGATACAGCAGGTCAGACAGAGGTTATTGACCGCCCAGAGCCGACAAAAGAGTTATGCGGATAGACGCCGGTCCGAGCTGGAATTTCAGGTCGGCGACTTCGTTCTCCTGAAGGTTTCTCCTTGGAAAGGAGTGATCCGGTTCAGGAAGAGGGGCAAATTGGGGCCCGGTTTATAGGTCCATTTCGTGTGATTGCAAGGGTAGGCCGGGTAGCCTATCGGTTGGAGTTACCAGCAGAGTTGGGGCAGATTCACAACACTTTTCATGTATCGCAGTTGAGGAAGTGTATAGCCGATGAGTCGGCAGTGGTTCCATTAGAGGATATTCAGGTTGATGCAAGCCTGAATTATGCTGAGAGACCAGTGGCCATTAGGGATCGGAAGATCAAGGTTTTGAGAAACAAGGAGGTACCTCTGGTTTGGTTCAGTGGCAACATCGGAGGGATCAGAGATGACCTGGGAGCCAGAGCGTATGATGCGGGAGCAGCACCCGGAGCTGTTTTAGAGCGAGACTTCGAGGGCGAAGTCTAGTTCTAGTGGGGGAGAGTTGTAACATCCGGACTTTTGCCAGGTATCATGTAAATTGAATTTTGTTAAATTGTGAGGGGGACTCGGCGAGTTGGAGCTCAGACTCGCCGAGTAGAGACGCGGATTGGACGATGGATCGCGCCTGGACTCGGCGAGTCCAGGATATGGACTCGGCGAGTCTGCGCTGTGTAGTGAAACCCTAAATTTCCGGGTTTGAGACCTATTTAAAGGGCCTTATGGCCGTCATTTGTGCTCACCCAACCCTTAGAGAGAAACCCTTGAGTGCTTGGACGATTTGAGAGAGAAAGGAGCATTCTTGACCTTGTGTGCCATTTAGCAAAGAAGGAGGTGATCCTAGGCAAGAGGAAGCAAAGGAGGTTGCTATTTCGTGGATTTGGAGCCTAGATCATCAATCTAGAGGTATGATTTCGGTTTATATTCTGTTTGGTGAAGTATTATGCGATTTAGGGCTTATTATGGACATTTATGGGATGATTTGATGCCCAATGGTTCCCTCCTTGTGCTGAGGTTTTGGATCTGGATCCATAGAGGTCCAGAGAGCCTCACTCATCAAGCTTTTTGTATGGCAATGGAGTTATGACCTTGTGTTGTAGTATTTGAGTCAAAAACATCATATATGGTCATATAGAGGTTGTATGTGCATCAAGATTGTAACTTTACGTGCTAAATGAGCTTGGAAGGACTGGATCTATGGGTTAATGGACTGGATCTGACCTTATGAGCAAGTTTGAGTCATTGCATGGCACGGACTCGCCGAGTCCGAAGAACAGACTCGGCGAGTAGCATGAATGTTGCCCGACCACACAGTGAGTGGTCTTGCCGAGTTGGGAGGGTGGACTCAGTGAGTCAGGGGGAGTCAGAGTGGACAGGTGGACTGAGTCAAACTGGACTCGCCGAGTTGTTCTTGAGACTCGGCGAGTTGAGTCGTGGTGGCCCCACAACTCATGCCAGGTGGAACTCGTCGAGTTGGGAGAATGCTCGACGTGTCAAGGGAGGATTCCAGGGAAATTGGTGTATACGCTCAGACTCGCCGAGTCGCTATAGCGCACTCGCCGAGTCCGGTCAAAGTTGACCGTTGACCGTTGACCAGCGTTGACCTAAGTTGACTTGTTATAGTATGGTCAACCCTAGTTGGGAAAGTGTTAATTAGAGATGTATTGTGCTATAGGAGGACTATAGCTCGGCAGATCGAGTGATTAGCGATTTCAGATTTACGACTTACCGAGACACACGAGGTGAGTCTTCTCACTATACTTTACCTTGAGTAGGTAACCAGAGTTATGTGATAGAGTATTGGTATGCTATGTATGTTACGTGTTGTACTGCATTATTTCTATGTGATTTATGTGGTGCATGTTTATCAGAGCTAGAACCTGAGGGTTCACAGAGTTTGGGTGCACGGACCCACAGAGTTATAGCCTCGAGTGGCTAATATGTGTTATATGTGGTATTTTGGGGAACTCACTAAGCCTTGTGCTTACAGTGTTTGATGTTATTGTTTCAGGTACTAGTGACGATCGCGGGAAGGCGCCGGCTTGATCCGTACACACACACGCTCGGAGTTTGATATTATGATCTTGGGATTTTGTATTGTCTTATTTGGATAATTAAAATGGTTGTTTTATGAATATCGATGGAATTATGTTTTATAAAAATTGAAAATTTTGTTTTGAAATTTACGGTGTTACAGACTCGTTGCTATTCCGGGAATTCAGCAACACGAAACCCCCTGAGTTCGATGGGACGCAGGATCCGATTGTTGCGATGAGGTGGATCGCCGGTATTGAAGGGTGCTTCTACACTTGTTCATGCCCGGAGCACCTGAGGGTACGGTTCGCTTTGAACCAGCTCCGTCTGGGAGCGAAGGATTGGTGGAAGTTGGTGACGGCGAACTTCACTTTGGCGGAGATTACAGCAGTGACATGGGAGAGGTTTACGACCATGTTCAGGGACGAGTACGTTCCCCCTAGTGGAGAGGGAACGATTGGTTCAGGAGTTCTTAACCCTTAAGCAGGGTACTGATTCGGTTGCGGTGGTCACGCGGAAGTTTCATGAGAGGGCGATGTTCTGCCCTGAGCTAGTGTCTACAGAGCAGTCGCGGATGAGCCGGTACTTGGGTGTTTTGAGGAGGGATATCCGGGAGTTTGTGTCGAACTCCACCTATCATACTTTTGTTGAGCTTCAGGCGAATGCCAGGAAGCGCGAGATCGAGTTGGAGACCCAGGCCAGGGAGGAGGCCGAGTCTCAGCAGGTGGATCGGGCGGCCGGCTCAGTCTCTGCCGGCAGCCAAGCGGATCAAGTCCGCCGATTCGAGGACGGGAGGTCCGAAGGGCCGCACTTGCGGAAAGTGCGGCAAGGGTCACGATGGGGCGTGTCGAGCTGGTGGTTGCTACAAGTGTGGCAAGGAGGGACACATCGCCAGGGATGTCCTAAGGGGTTTATGGTTTGTTTCATTG